AAGACTGGCTAAAATTTGATGACACTGAAGAATTGAATTGGAGAGCTTTCTGGATGGGAAGTAAAATGTCTTCAACTTGGAAAACAAAGTCCAGTGGTTTGCTTTTCACTCTTTTGGAATGACTATGACCTGGATCACTGAGAATCTTCACCAGCATATAGAAGTCCAAATAATATGCAAATTATTCATATTGTTAGCAGATTAGGGTTTAATCCTTTCATCTCAGAACTACCGACATGCATTTGTAGTTTTCATAGATATTAGGATTATCATAACAGTGAAGAGGCCTTGCAATGTCAATCACTTTTAACTGTTCAAAACATCTGTGGGAAAATGCTAAAAGAATGTAACCAATTATAACTTACTTCGTAGAAACCCGACCTGTTCTTTCAGTGTACGCCATTGCGTGGAAGAATCTCCCAAAAACACTCTGGTCTTGTTTCTCTCTTCTGAGTCTTTTGTCTTCTTCTTCTTCTAAAACACTTTGTAGACAATTTTCTCTTACTACACTCGGCCATTTTCAAAGAATTGCGGTGAGAAAGGCAAGCTTCAATGACGCTGAAAACGTAGCTCACACATATATACCTGAAAGTGTGCATGCGCAGAAAAAGATAGCAGCCTGTGGAAGAGCATGTAGGACGGCCTTACATAAACAAATCACCAGAATGTCGATTGACAATTAGGAGGACCACTTATTTGATTCACCCAGAAAAATAACATCTTCCACTATACCTTTAAGACTAGTTATCAGGGTTGCTGGAGAGAAACCTTTTATTCCACATAAGGATTCTATCTACTCGTGCAATGGTATTCAAAACCTTGAATGTGAGTGTTTTATGCTCTGATGATAAAACATTTAAACTGTAGGACATACTTTAGGTAGTATGTTTTACAAAAGAATAACATAATCATTCAACACTAGTTGTGATCAAGTCAGGAATAGCCCTGAATACTGGACAGCTGAAGTCAAAACTTCAGGTGTGTGCTAGAAAATTGTAGATGAAAATGATTTTATGTGACCATGAGCCCCTTAAACCTATTTAAACATCAAGGAAAAAACATTATTATAGGATTATAGGAGAATTTTAGTTTTGATATATTCTATCCCAAGAGAGTTGTGGAATAGACCAGTCAGGATATGTGGTGCTTATAGATTCCTGCTTGAAAGTGAATCAAATGTCATGCATTCAAGCTTTAGTTTAGGAATCTTCAAATCTGTTGCAGGTTGTTACATCATTTGTATTTCTTTTATATTTTTGGGAGTTTTTTCAATCAAATTTTGCAGGATGAATCACAACTAATATGTTAGAGGGTTTTCAAATGTTTAAGGTTTCTTTATTCTATACCCCAAGGAACTTGGGTTTCTTGAGCTACAGGAGAGTGTTTCCACTTTTTTTAATCTTCTTTTCAATAAATCCTTTGCTTTACACTATTCAGTCCTCTCAGTCTAGACTTTTTTAAAGCAAGAGATAAAGATAGTGATGTAGAGCAGAGATAATATGCTGTGCTCTTTTAAGAAGTTGTTTTTCATGTGCAGTGTCATAACTAATTGCTTTCTCAGCGTGATGCTTCTCTGCCCTGAGCTATGTTGGATTTCAGATTCACCCCTTTTTTGTTGACTTGCTGCTGCTCAGATGTGCTCTGCTTTGTTTTTTGTTTTCTTTTTCTGGCTAAATTCTTTTCTTTGTGGTGTCAGATGGGAGTCCAACAGAGCAGGGTGTGGACCACAGACAGGTTCAGAGAGAGCTTGGGGAGGTTTCTGTATACCTGCAGAAGCCTGTGGTTCTGTCTCCTACCAGCGCAAGGATTTCTTGGACTGTAAGTTCACTTCGTGGTTGATAATGTTAGCATTTCAAAGTGATGAAGACATGCTAATCCTCGACCATTAGCTTCAAATGCTTCCTCAAACACTGTGAGAATAAACTGAGTCTCTTGATGCCTTAACACTGCAGGACTTTGACTTGCATATTTCATGCTTGCCAACACTTTTCAGGTGGCCCGTCAGTCCCGGTACATCCAGGGTTACCGCATATTTTACCGGATGATTGGTGGCTCCTGGTTGGTCCGAGATGTAGAAGCAACATCTGACTACAGTGCAGTCTTAGCAGATCTTCAAAGTAACAAGGAGTATGAAGTCAAGATACGCCCCTACTTCAATGAGCTCCAGGGCCATGACAGTCTCATGGTTCTGATGCACACCCCTGAGGAGGGTATGAGATTGTCATCAGAAAATAATTGCAAATATGTAGAAGTAATGCACTAAATGACATTATTTGTTTCTGGAAAGGAGAAAATGTTTGATATCATTAACCTGTAATTATATCTGTATCATGTAGCACTTGTGAACCAATTTCAATTTGGTTTTTCCATTAGCTTTAAGTGGTCCACCAGAGGCTGTGTCAGTGGTGCAACTCACCAACAGCTCCAGTATCAGTGTGTCCTGGGAGCCACCACCTCACAGTGTTCAGACTAGCATCATCTTGGAGTACAAAGTGAGTCAAGTACTTGTCTTTTCTTGAAGACCTTCATGGTGTTTTTAATAACAATTACAGTGCCTTAATAAGGCTTTCATTTTTTCCTATTTAGTATTTAAAAAACCCATAAAACGTTAGTGTATGCTGTGCAACTGACACCAACACCAAATAGTGTATAACTATAAATTGGAAGAAAAAGGAAAATATAATTAAAAAGATTTTGTGTAAGAAGATGCTCTGATCAGCTAACACCAAAGTGTTTATTACCCTGAACATACCATCCCTGGCATAAATCATATGTTTTCAAACATCATTAGAGATAGATACGGTGAAATAAACTTTTTTGAGTCTGAAAATGATTTAAGGCAGTTGTTAAGCTTCACTTACAGGCAGAACACTGCCAAAAAAAAAATTATTCATACATATCAAAGGTTTTGAAAGCTAGTCAGTCTTGAATCTTGTAACTCTTGACTTTTATATATGTTGCTTCAGTGCTGAAGCAGAGACACATGTTATTTTTGCAGAAAAATGGCCTCCCGGACATTTGAGAATAATTTAATTTATCTGATATAAAATAGCCACTTAAAGTCCAGAACTAAAGCTGTGCACTATTTAAAATAATGCTCTCTGAGCCTAAACAATCTTGGAAACATTAATGAAAAAAAAAAAATCTGTCTTAAAATGAAAGACCCACATACATATAAAAAAATACCCCAAAGCCACCCAGCCGCTATATTTCAGTAAATCTAAATTCTTGCAGATTTAATGGTTGTAGATGTCAACTGAAACACAAAGCAATGAAGAGAAACCAGCAATGATGAATTGCAGAGGAGGATTATATATAGGAGACAGAACCAAGAGTTGAGTAATCAGTTAATTGGGAGCAGGTGTGGACAGAAGCAGCTAGAAAGGAGCCTAGGGGAGAGGAAAGGGGCAGTAGGGGGCAACATAGAGTAACCAGGAAAAACAGGGTTCAGCTGTAACTAGAAAAGAACTCAGATGGTTATAAAATCAGGATTAACCAAGAGTAAAATTAGAGGATAAGAGAAGGGACTGGAGATAACTGAAGCCATGGAAAATATAACCTAAGGATAAAAGAAGTAAAATTAACTAAAACTAGACCTAGGAATAAATAATGGCAAAAATGCAGAAAAGAGAATAATAAGGCCAAGTAAAATTAAGAATTTAAAAATGATATAAATCTTGAGAATACGGAATAACATAAAATAAAGCATAACTGGGAACCCAAAATGAAAACTTACAGAGAACCAAAAAGTGCAGAGCGGCAGATCATGACAGAAACAGTCCTATGTGAATCACATTTGATAAAATCTCACGTAGGGTAACATCTATGAACTTTGTAACATGCTCTGCCTCATTTAGACATACTGTTATTTGGAGTGAAAGAGGTCAAAATTGCTTATACAAAAACATAGTGTCACTAACTTTTTGCTATGATGGTTTATAAATTAATGTCTCATCATATCACATTCTTGAGTTGATTGTTGGCTCCTACGTGTCACTCTCTTTAATTGGTTTATGACAGAGCCCCAAAAGGTAAAACAATTATTATCTGCATTCATTGAGAAATGCAGTCTAATGCTTCTACTTAGACACCCAGTACATTTTTTTTCAACTTTCCATAATTGTAGGATGAACTCTTCATCAGGGCAGACAGAGTACCTGCATAGCTTAGCAATGAAATTAGGTAATGTTGCTATCTGCTGTTAATGCAACATTTGTTTAGCCTTTACAATACAGACATTTTATTTAAGTAATACATATATTTAATATTCATCTTTGTTGTGCTGCTTTGAGGACAACATATAAAAAGTGTCCACAAACATTGGTAAGCTTAAGGTCCCGTTAAAAAAAGTCCATGATAAAACATTGTTTACTTACAGCTTCCATAGAATAGCAAGACACACAGAAAAGAGTGTGATGAAGTTTTCACACTGTGACAAAACCTAACAAATTGGAACGAGTATAATTTTTTTATGCATATATGACTCAGAGTTACACAGAGCTGTTGTTTAGATGGTTGTGAAAAGCAGTGATGCATAATTAGCAATTAGTAATAACTCTTTTGCTGCTCATGTGCTGCCAGCTCTTGTTTTGTCATCAGATTGTCTGCTAAACCCAGACTGTTCCTGTCATCTGTTTGCTGTGTGGAAAAGAGAGAAAAAAACAGAGTCCTAATATTCTGTCTATTAGCATCAGCTCAACACTGATTGCTAATCACCAAGCTGCTATTCCAGGAACAAAGTTCAGCTCTGTTGTTTAGAATTTCCAAATTCAAATACATATAGTCAATTAATTTGAGCATTTATCAGCAGAAGGCAGGGATTAAACAAAATCCTGTTAAGTTTTTCATTTCCAGAACCATGTGCAGTATTTTGTCCCAATATATTAAATATGAAGAAAGAAAAAATCGCTCAATTCTAAACAGATAGCCTGGTACAGTAGCATAGATGTTCATTATAACCTTCAGTGACTTCCTCATAGAACTTCACAAAAGATTAATTAATGGTGGAGCTGCTACCTGAATGCCATTGTACTGTAAATACAGTAGATATGCAGATTATAGCTGAGATAAAAAGGACATAAGTTACAGATATGACAGCTACTGTGTTTATAACAATTTATTTGGAAAATTAGGAATGGTTATTTTACTAAACTAAGATTTTAAAAAAAATGTTGTTGGTTGACAATTATACAATTAAAATTAGACCAATCAGGACCAGCTGTGGTTTAAGATGTTCTCATCTAGTAAGAAATGAAAGTATATTACATTCTTCAACATGCTTTAACTTCAAAGGGTTTGCTCAATAAATTTGAAAGTAAACTGGCTGAGAACTCCATGTGCATTTAGCATCATTGTGAGCAGTTTGAATCAAAGTAATAATGGTTTCATGTATACATACCTATCTCTGCACAAGTTGACAACACACACAAATTTCTTGCAATATCTGTAATATCAGTAACACAAAGTAACTGGTAAGTGTGAAGTAACAGAGCGATGAATCGCTGCAATTATTGCATCTTATACAGCTTTGAACATCCAGTAACATTTCACCCATTCTTTAAGGCAACATGACCTGAGCTCTATCACACTGCTTTAAAAGGGTCTTCTAACAGGAGCTTGAAACAGATTCTATTAAGTCATGAATTTTTTTTTTTAATCATTCCATTCATGGTCTGGCTGTACTGTATACAGTATTTTAGTTCTTTATATTTGGTTATCCAAATGAATAGAAGACAATAGAAGAGAAAGATAATCCCTTTATTGTCCCACAATGGGGACAATAAAGGGATTATCTTTATAACCCTTTGCTGCTGGTTTTACAGCAGCAAAGGGTTATACAGTAGTAGAAGTGGTCACACAATGTGGAACTTAGAAAAGTGTATAAAATAATAGATAAGGAAATAAAACAAATAAAGTATTATAATGTACAGTGTTTTTACAATATAAATACTCTGTATCTGGAGAATAAAAAATAAATAACAGCTGTGAACATTTTTACAGTAATGGATATGTGAAAATGGCATTAACACAAGAGATGTGCAAAAAAGTGACAGCAGCGTGTTGTTTAACTGACTAAGACAGAAACTGT